GAGGTTCCTGGGGCATATGGCGGCCGCAGCGGCACTTACACTGCTCGGCCTGTTACATATGAGACCGCTCCAGCACTGGCTTTATGGCCGGGTCCCGAGGTGTGCGTGGAAGCGCGGCACTCACCGGGTCCAAGTTACACCGGCCTGTCAGCAATCCTTCACCACGTGGTCAGATCTTGCGTTCCTCCGGGCAGGGGTGCCCCTAGAGCAGATCTCCAGGCATGCTGTGGTCTACACGGATGCCTCCACCACCGGGTGGGGGGCCACATACAACGGGCATGCAGTCTCAGGGGTTTGGACGGGCCCGCAGCTGCATTGGCACATCAATTGTTTAGAGTTGTTAGCAGTGCGCCTGGCCTTGAACTGTCTCAAAGGGCGCTTACGAGGCAAGCACGTACTGGTCCGAACGGACAACACAGCAACCGTTGCGTACATCAACCGACAGGGTGGTCTGTGCTCCCGTCACATGTCGCAACTCGCCTGCCACCTCCTCTTTTGGAGTCGGAAGGTTCTGAGGTCACTTCGTGCAGTTCACATTCCTGCTCAACCGTACAGCCGACGAGCTGTCTCGAGCAATGCTCCCGCCTGGCTTTGCTCTGTCCGGGTACGCGGGTACGTTTTCCCAGTGTTATCCAGTCTCACTTAGTAAGGTAGTGCTTTGAAAAAGGGTGAGTGGAACTACTTGTCCCGAGCCCCGGCCTACACCAGATAGGGGCGCAGGCGGCTCGCACAGGGCACTGGAAAGGGCAGCACCATGGCGCTTTGGTAGGGATCCCAATTCGTCGGTCACGACGTGACTCGTAGTGACCGACTGAAAGGGAACGTCTCGGTTACGTATGGTAACCCTCGTTCCCTGAAGGAGGGAACGGAGACGTCACGTCCCGTCGCCACGGTTGCTGTACCACCGCTGAGCGGCCGGGTCGCCGGCTTGGCTCCTCAGCGAATACCTGGTATGCATTGCACTTGCTGCCTTATTATACTCACGCTGTGATCAGCGGCAGGTGGATGCAATAATTGCATGCCAATGTGCATTGGCTCATTTAGTTTACACTCGAAGTAGATTGGTCTATCGAAGCGATATCCCAATTCGTCGGTCACGACGTGATGTCTCCGTTCCCTCCTTCAAGGAACGAGGGTTACCATACGTAACCGAGACGTTTTCTGCTTGGGGATTATTAAAAACATGCAACAGATATTCTGCATTATAAATAATATAGCAGAATCTCTCGCTGTTGACATGAAATCACACCACCCAAGTATACAAACAATGAATTTAACCATCCCTTTTGTAGAAAGATCTGCATTGGAGTTGAACAAGGCAGCCATGATTGGCACTGAAGCCTGTAAAGATGACAGCTGTCTGCATGACCCAAACTGAAGGTAGCAGATGAACTGCAATGACTTTTCAAGAAGAAGAAAAAAAACTAGCTGACAGAAATCTAGTTCTTTGCAGGCCTGTTCTCGATGAAATGTTACAAGGTGACACCTCCATGTCTGGGCTCTGTGAGGTGGACAGAGATGTTTCAGCCAATTAGGGAACAGCCTGCTCATGGCCCAGTGCTAAAATGGCAAATCTGCTAATATCTACAGTAAGCCTGAGTTCACAGTCAGTGTCAACTGTCAGACCAGATTTTACACTACCGTTGCACCTGTGTTTGTGTATGAATCAATGGTTAGTGTTATGAGAGATGTGTGTGTGTTAAATGTGTTTGTAATGTGATAGAATGCTGCTCGATACTCAGGTCATATGTTGTTTTTGTACAGCATTGCTCATTTCTTTGGCAAGGTGAAGTGCGCTACAGTGTGTTCATGACTCAACTGTTTTTCATGAGAGTGTGTTTACTCAAGATTGTGATATGTGGAAGTTGACAGAAACTCTAGACAGGACAGTATATTAACCTCCTGAGACCCTGCATCCTCATATGAGGGCATTGTATTTTTGTGAATTTCTCTGAGACTATACATACCACAGTTTTAAGTCTGGATGTCCTGCACAGAGCACATTCAGGGCTTTTCAGAGATACTAAATGTTTGGATGTTTCACCATGACCACTCCCTCTCCTTGGTCTTCAAAAATGTCTGATATTAATTTAGTGACACTCTTATGGAAATATGATAATATTTTGTAATTATCATTTAAATCTGACAAATTTTTAAACTGTGTCATAAATCAACATCTCAGGAAAATGTTCAATTCAATTCAATTCAAGTTTATTTGTACAGCGCTTTTCACGATACAAATCATTGCAAAGCAACTTTACAGCAAATTAAATTTCTACAATATTCAGTGGTAGCTTATCAGTGGTGACTGTCAGTCAATGTACATATGGCAGAAATGTACGGAAAAATCAATTAAAGACGTAACCAAACAGACGATGAACACTATTAAAAGCAATTATTATATGATGCAATCAAACTTATAGCAAAATGTGGTAGTTCTGTATGTTGTTTCAGGGTTGGCATCATCTGAGGTCCTATGAGGGGTTGGCATCATCTCTTCTCAGGTGTTCTGGATCCAGACTGAAGCTTGTGTAAATCCTAGTTACATCCCGTGGCAAAAACAGAGAAACAAATAGAGACATAATTAGTGTAGCTGCTGTTCCAACCAAGCAAATGTTATGGGGTTTCAAATCAAAATATGACTTTCTGTAACGAAACAGGACGTTGATTTCATACATGTCCTCATATGAGGACACCGGGACTAAAAGCATGTTTATTACGCATTTTGGGAGACACAACGAATGAATAGGGAAAGAAATGATATTTCAATATTCCTATGAATAAAATCAACTATTTTTGCCTATGCATGTTCATTGATGTCTTTTTATTCCCGATGTCCTCTACCAAGGACGTAGCATAACTTATGAATGAAATATATTTTCTTTTTTTTTCTTTTTCTTTTTTTTAATGCTCTAAACAATGTAATGACATGAAAAAATACTAATTTTTTCCTAAAATGTTTTGCCGGGTCTCAAGAGGTTAAGGCGGTATCTACCTGCCCTGGAGATTTGTTCCTTAATATTAGAGTGAGTAGAGTCAGTCAAATAGACAGACAAAGGTGTTTTTTTTTTCAGCAGCTAATTCACTCAAGGAATCTTGAAAATGGTGCCAAAAATGGCAACAAAATCTCTGCTAAACTGCATTTTTATTGCACTAGTCCACATTTTGGACAGGTCATAATTTACTGGGATCCTTCACCACTGTGATTCAAATATTTGAACCTGCTCTTAAAAAAGCCGAAAGTCTGCTCGACTTCATGGCACATCCAGATAATGTTCTTCTCCCTCATTTGATCATCATTTAATGAATTACTGCTACCACGATCAATAGAAAACATCTCTTTTAAATTAACTTCCATTTACCACATTCTGTGCACTTTGTTAGTTGTGTCAAAGAAATTTTGAGTTGTAATTTGTAAAACGGTAATTTATATAATGTTCATAATTTACATAAAAAATATTTTATGTACATTACATTTGCATATGAAGTGTGTTTGTGTTGAAAAAGCTGACAGTTTCTTAATTGAAACACTTTTTCAGTGCATTTGGCATCAAGTTCAACTTGATTACGGTTGGTTAGAGAGTAAGATGCAGTTTTTTCCATTAAAATATTGTGTGCAGAAGTGATGCAAGTGAGTTTGTCCCAGTGAGAAGCAGAGAAAAGTAGGGGGACACATGGTTAACACAGCATGTTTTTTCCTCCTCTTTATTTCTTTGCTCACTCACTCGCTTGGCGAGATTCCACCAGGCCAGCACCAATAAACATGTCCAGTTTTAGCTTTTTTACAGAGGGTTAACCATGAAAAAGAGAACTAATGAAAACTTATGCTGTGTGCAGTTCATAGTGTTTTATTGTCTTTAAAATGCCTTGCACATCGGCCTTAGTTTCCACTATAGTGCCTTTATATCTCTGATATAGGCTCTTTACCCTGCACCCTATTGATGGGATTCCTTTAAGCTCTATTAACATTAGGATTTTAGTAGCAACATAAAACCTTTTGAGGTCTGTTATCTCAACTGGGTGTGTTTGAGATGCAGATATCAAAAGGCTCTACACTATATAAGATGCAAGATGCTGCATTACTCATGAATTAAGATTCTGAATAGCTACCCCTGCTAAAGGTTTATAAAAGTATTCTAATGGGCTTTTTTCACATTGTGCTGAAAAGACACTTACGTCAATAATATGCTAAAGGATCTATACTTCCACATCACATGCAGACAAACCTCTGTTCTTCCACATTGATTAATCCGTCTGTGTTTGATCATTAGCACACAACAGAATTGATTTAATGGACTGAAGGTCAGAGGTCAATTACAGCATCTCATTATCTCCAATTCTCATTAATCCCAACACAGCTCGGGGTTAAAGTATGTGTGTGTGATTTGCCGTCCATGCCACAGGACCAACTGTAGTACTTTATACTGTAATACTTTACAAAACATACGTTTTAAAAATCAGAGGATCCTTTTGCATCTTTAAATAAAATGTTTTTGATTCTTGCCCAAACAGTATGATCAGAGGACATGAGTTTTTTTTTTGACAGTCTAAAATATATTTTTCTTTGGATGGTTCAATATTCTTTTATTCTTCCTTATCTGTCAATTATTCATGAGGCAGATGTTTTTTATTGAATTTTCAAATTATCTTTTGAAGGACAAAATCTAAGGCATCATGAATATGAGAATATCCAAACGCTAATTATGAGTAGAGCATTTAGACATGCTCATCAACATTAGCGACAAATACATTAATGTGCCTTATCAATCATATGAGTCATGAAATGGGATTATACCATAAACATCTCATTCTGTCAAAGACATCATAATGTTTCCAGGCTGTAAAAAAGATCAATACAGAGAGAGAGAGCAGTGCTTTCTGGAGTAACACTTAATTAGAAGAAGAGGCTGACCTAGTGTTTTTAAAAAGCCATAAAATGTAGCATATTTCTATTAGACTTGCGTTTCTGATAATAAGCTTTGTGGAAAAAAAAATCCAAGATGGCAAGGGTGAGATTAATTATTTTAAATAAACTTGTATTTTATTCAGTACTGAAAAGTAGTGATAAAAATAGTTCTGCACATAATTCAAATTGTATTATTTTACACGTGAATGTTCTATATTTGCATTATGATTCTTGGAGTGGTACATTTTTAGCTAAGCAACATGCTAACTTGAAATACTGATTAAATCAGTTGACACTGGATCAACTAAAATTCCCAGTGTAAAGTACTTTTGTTGTGGTATGCGGAATTGCTAACTAAGTTCTCTAGTGCTTTTCAAATTAGTCACTTATAAACTTTCATAACTGGTGGATGCTATAGGGGCCGCTCATACAGAATGCTTTTTTAAATGTAAACATGCTAGATGGACGTCTTTGACCATCATGCTCAAATCTTGCCATTTTTGCAGCACGGCATTCAAGTTAAAATAAAAAAGCATTTTTCCCTATTCCCAAATGCAACACCACACTTTAGAAGGCAATTAGGCAACTCTCTAGGTTTTGTAACTTATCTATGGCATTATCAGGGATTTTTTGAATGAAACAGCACTCACATTGTACCTTTGAGTTAATGTGTCAAAATCTGAAGACAAGGAAAATCTTGTCTCTATTGTTTTCTCATTCTCTCTGCGTGCCTTTTACACTCTTATTTACAGTATATTTATGTGCACGTGTGTATGTTAATTTGTTATGCTGCAACAAAATTATTCTAAAACTGTTGTTTAGAAGCTATAGGCTATACTAATAGTTTTACATGAATATCAATCACATCAGCAGTCTGATTATGAATGAAGGTGTATTGAATTAACAAAGAGGTTGGAAGATTTCTGTTTTTCTGAATATTTGTTAATTGAATTGTGAGTTTGCTCGTCCATATCAATGTTGTTGTTTTTTGGAAGGTGGAGGTTTTATGTGAGTATACACTGACATTTTTGTGGTTCCACAGGTGTGTGTATACTGTGAAATCTTCTGTGCAGCTCCCTTGAAGCAGGCATCATTAGTGTCTTTTGCTGCATAAAGTCAGCGGGCTCTGTTGGGAGTTAGCTTTCTAACCTCTCACAGATACAGTGTTTTTCCTGTCAGTGCTTGTCACCATGCAGCAGAGGGGAACTGTCCTCCTCTTGGCACTCCCTTCACACCCACCAACAAAATCTTGGTATGGTGTGTGCATGCATGTGATCATAAAAATAAAAGAGTTTCGGAAGAACAAAGGTGCTTTGAGTTTGTGACACACACCAGTGACAGCTCATTCCACATTTTGGATTATACCAATTAAAGACAACAGTGTAATTTTCCTTACTTTTATGTGTAAGTGTTTTTATTACCAGATCAAATTAAACACGTATGTACTGGCAGTATGAGGGGAATACGGTGGTCCTGAAGAAAGGAGGGAAGGGATGCAGTGATTTTGTGACATTTTCATTGCCCCCCACGAGTCAGGACAAATATGGCTTCTCTTTTATTTCCCTACTGAGTGAAGTCAAAAGTGTTTGTCTGTGTTAGTGTGATTTTCCATTCATGTCTGCTGAACAAATTCAGGCACCACTGACACTTTTATTGTTTTGTGATTGTATTTTGGCTTTGCTGAATTTCTGTTTACTTTGTTTCGATTTTTTTCTCCTCTGCCCTAAAGAGATGAAGTGATAAATAGACAGGCATCCATCGGTGTGGTCTGCGCCTTTTCAAAGGAGTCTTTTATGTGAGAAATTGATGGACTGTGCAGTCTCTATTAACAGATGAAAGAGATGCTTTTTTTCTTTTTCAAATCAAAGGTGTCGTAAGGTTATTTAGGAGTGTTCTGCCACAGTTGAACCCCAGGTTAGACCTAGGTTGATGTTTCTTTTCCTCCTGACTTTTCTTCTTTAGGGCCTTTATCCAAGCCAAACAAATGTTGTTGTTGTTCAAATGTTGAATTTCTCATCTCGTTACGCCTGTTTTTTCTGACAGAGGCTGAAAGAGTTGAAGCAGAGAGAATTTGCACGGAATGTCTCCTCCAAGTCCTGGAAAGATGAGAAAAAGCAGAAAAGAGCTCTGAAACAACTGCACCAACTCGCACAGCTTAAACAGCAAAGAGACAGGTAAAACATTATATACTTATAGTGTCAATCTGATAATGTATCTTATAGTGCAGTATTTTAATATAATGCATGCACTGTACATTAGATTTAAAGAGAAATTAGATCTGTCCGCTCTGCCTAATAACAATACTGTCTTCTGTTCTTGCCAACAGTGATGACAGGAAAGGTCCAAAGTTAAGGTCTACAAACAAGGATAAGAATCAAGTTAAAATCCCCTCTGCTGGCAGTAGCAGGTTTGACACAAAACCAATAGCATTGTCAGTCCAAGACTCAACTGTCTCTTTGAAGGGCTTGTCCTCAACTCATATACCCACACATCAGCAGCTATGCCACAAAAAACACCCCTTACAGACTAAATCCTCTGCAGGACACCGGAGCCCCAGGGCAGGGGTCTCATTCTGTTTCTCCAGGCGAGCTCAACAGAAGCTTGACTCCTGTGCATCTGTGTTTAGTGATGGACTTGAAGAGACCAGTGACTATCAAGAGCTCCAGCGCCACAGGCACAGACTCGCCCTAGAGGCCCTCTGGTCCTGCTCAAGCTCACCTAGAACCCCAAGTAATGATGACCATGATCTATCCCATGATCCACCAACTCTGGAATGGGTAGATGGAGACTCTCAAACACAAATAGAAGCACAAGCAGAACATGTGGAAAGCTCTGAAATTAAGGCACGCTACAGCACAAGTGAGCCAGAGAAGCTGGGGTGTCCTGATACACACAGTCCTAGAGCAGACTGGAAGCTAGCTGGTTCAGAGGACGGATTGCTTGATGGGGGGCAGAGGCCCAGGGCAAAGTGGGCTTATGGGGGATCAGAGGAGAGAGAATGCCTCAAGTGCCCCGGCCCTACTGTTTACACAGATGGACAGGGCACCATGGCTGAAGGCCAACTCCAAATACACAAAGGCTCAAACCACCATACACAGAAAAGCAGCAAACATGGTATTATGCAGAATGGGAAGGACTGTATATCAGAAAAAGAGACAGAGGAGTATAAAATACACAAAGTGTGCAAGAATGAAAATACAGGTTCTTTCCTTAATGTACTGAGCAAGGATGGAAGTGTGATGAAGTGGCCTTCTGAGCTGGTGCAGTACACTTCCGGCAAGCCACAGGTATCTTACAGCTGTAACCCTCTATACCACTATTTCAAACAGAAGGAAGGCAAAGTCAAAAGCACAAAGGCTGAGGAGTCAGATCACTGTGTTGTCGACAAGCTCACAGGCCAGAACGACAGAGCTGAGCCACAAACACAGGATGTTCCAGGAGATAAATTAGGTATTTTAAAACCAAAGAGACCCAAACACAGGAGAAAGGGGAAAAAACGTAGGTGTAAATTAGATGCTGTCAGGATCCAGCAAGCGGGCTGTGCATTCAAAACCTGCTCGCAGACAGAAGCTGGAGGACACTTTGAATTCCAAAGCACTCCAACCAACACGTCACAAAACAAGCAAGCGTGCACTGAGAGGAGGCACAAGTTGGGAAAGAGAAAAAGATCAGTGAGAGATGAGACTTCAAATGAAAGTGACACCCCAGAGCACAGCCTCAAAAGCATTGTTGTAAGCTCGCTTTCTGCCCCAGCACGTAAAAAAAGGAAGAAATGTCAAACGATGAGGGGGTTTGTATCGGCGCTGCGCTTGGTAAGGCGAAGGTCTTTGCCATATTCTGTTCACAATACGACAGGAAGAGAGGATAATTATCGCTGGTATGACGACACCTATGATTCAAAGAGGGATGCTGCCTCAACTCCCACCAGTGACAAATCTGGGTCATGGAGTGGCCTGTTAGACTTAAACTCAGATGGGGAATGGCCTGTGTACCACATGGGGAGATGTTCCACCTCACCAAGATCAAACTATCTGTACCCTTTGAGAAAAGAGCACAGTCAGTCCAGGTCTTACATTAGAAGTTCCTCTTACAATGATCCTCACTACAGTTACAGTCCATGCAAAGATTTTGAACATACAGGAGAAAGATGGGACTACAAAGACCCTTACATCTACAATAAGCGAAAATATTCAACAGTTTGTAACAGCCCAGATCAACATGAGAGGTACAGCATCAGAAGGCACAAAAGGTTCATTGAGGAGCATAAATACAGAGAGCACAGATTTCAGCATACAGGTAGGCAGTTATTTTATAGAGTCTATGACAGTCCTGAACCTCAAGAAGATGTCAGGGACTGGTGGTATGAAAGGCTTAGCCCTGTAGGTAGGAGGTACCGGGAGAGAGAAGAATTTCCTTGGTCAAGTCCAGAAAGATGTGAAGACAGGTGGTATAACAAGCCAATGTCCATTCATAGCCCCAGTTCCTCTAGTACCACTAGCATCTCTGATCTTAGTGGGGACTGGTTGTCTAATTCCCATATTAGGCCATCTCCTACTGGACAGAGCCAGAAACACTGCAGTTATTCTGGATGGCCATCCGAGAGATTGGTCAAGACCAAATCCTCCCATTCTCTTCTTAGAAAGAGGAGTCATTCACCCCCATTAGTTACAAGTAACCATGCAGCTCAGCCTACATCCTTACAATCAGGTGTTGGGATAGAATGTGTCACACACAAATCTAACCCAATGCCAACAGACCAGTTGGCTGAGAAGGATCCTAAAGTTAAAAAATCAAATGCCACACTCTCGTTTCCGCTAATTGGTAAACTACCCTCTATTAAGAATGGGGCAAGAAAAATAAGGATTAATAAAGATGATGCAAGTGCCTGTATTAGTAAACAGGTTCAAACATCTTCAACTGTTCCATCAAATCCACAAGTTATACCTCAATTTGACGGTAGTACTTCAGAACACTTACAACACACAGATGGGCAAAATCCCAGTCCATCCCAAGCTTGTCTTGAAGTTGCCAAGGATGATACATCAACAGAAACCTGTGCTGCTTCAGCTCTGAATCCAGACAAGACTTTGTCACAAAAGCTCAACATCAGAAACCAAGGGGACAATGCCGAAATTGCAGGGATTCACTGTTCAAAACGCACCACCCCTCCCCTTTCAGAGCAACCATTCACCTTCACTGATGATGAGATTGAGAAGTACAGATGGCTTCAACTCCAGGCCCAGCAGCACATGCAGCAGCAGCACCTTCAAGAGCAAGCATCTGTGGACATGACCCATTTACCGATACCAACTCCAGAGTCACCCGACCAGACCACACTTTCAGCCTGTCTGCCATACAGCATACTCCAGCCCTCTTCTACACCCTCTTCTATTGCTTCTCACCCTTCCCCTTTTGCCCTGCTCACTCCCCTTCATCCCTCTCTCTCTCAGCCCAGTTTTGCCCCTCCGATTCCTGCTGCCTTTTTCCCAGCGCCGCTTGCTACTGTGTTGGCAGCTCAACCCTTCCACCTGATCCCAGCCTCATCCCTCCACCCAGCACACCCTCACCATCATGTTCCTGGGTTAACTCTCCACCCCCTGCCTCCTGTTTCTCTGCTCCCCACGATGCTCAGTCCAATGCCCATGGCTGCCGCCGCTGCCGCTGCTGTTGCTGCTGCCAGAACTCTGCAGATCCACCCCCTACTACATCCTCTCTTCCACAGCAAAGACCTTCAACGCCACCCTGGACCAACCAGCTAGCTCTGGTCAGAACGAGAGGGTCAAAGAAAATAAATAAGAATATAGTTTTGACTTTAAATGTCCTACAAGACCACCCCCCCTCCAAGTGTGCTGTGAACTTTCTGATGTTTAGGTTCTACTTTCAGCCAAAGTTCATGTTGAGTACTGATTGATTTTTGTTCCATCTCTGTGTGTTGCAGTGTAGACGCAAAGATAGTGGGAATTTCTACTTTGTTGTTTATTTTTCCATTCTTCATACATCCATCGTCTCCCTGCATTAACACACAGATGAACCTCTCCTGCCTCGGCACACTGTGATTTATCAGCAGTTGAGCCCAGTCAGCAGTTGGCTGAAATTAAGCATAACCTGAAGTCAAATTAAAATGTTAATGCCTTCTTCAATTAGTAATATGTATACTTAGCATATTTTTACAGTTAGGCTACCCAGCAAGTATTCAAATTATTTTATTTATGAAGAACTTAGGGGAGATATCCTTCAGCAATCTTAAACTGACTAAGCAAAATGTACATGAAAATTCAGAATAATTCGGAATAAAATTCAGAGAAATGTTTTTCATTAAAATGTTCTTTTTACAATATGCAAATTTAAATCATTATTTGGTGCAGAAATACAGCATGCGATTGAGCTATTGTATCTCTTAATGGATTTAGCAGCGCTCACCACTTCGGTTGAAAATGTCCCGTTTTTAATCTTTTTTTTCTGTGTTGTTTAGTAGAGTAGAGTAAGTTTGTACTTGCTCAGCTGTAGTGTGGACATGCAATAATGTTTTTTCAATCTATTTAAAGTGTAAAATCTTGAACTTCATTTATGTATTCATACTTTGTAATGTAAGTAATAACAAATAACATGCACTTGATTGTTCATACATGTTTAAGATGCTTTTTATTCTCTCTTATTTTGGTAGAGCCAGACATACTTTCATCTGTAAGATAATGTCATGGGAATAATATTAAATTAAATGTCATTCAGAGAAATGACAGTTTTGTTACTAGTGTCTTTGAGGTCTATAATTTGACGAGGCTTTTAAGGTTCAGGGCTTTTAGACTTTGAAAGACAGGGAGTAGCGATTGCCATTTTGCCTGGAGGAGGATTGTGGCTGAATTGTCATTTACCCACCTCTAAAATACCCCTCTAGAAAATGGCGAAATACATGTCAAATTCAGTGAATGTCAACATACCTTAATTTCAAATGAGCAGTGCTTCATTGCTTAGATCTAAGGGACTGGGAGCTTGTGTTAATGATGCTTCTCATTGCCAGCAGTGGCCCAGTAACACAACTGTGCATTTGCACTAATTAACTCTCTCCGGTACAAGTCGTCTGCTCTGGCAAGCAAGAGCTCTACTCTACAGTCGCTCACTGGCACGGATTGGTGATTCATATGTCCAAACTCTAACTCAAAGTGTGTTGGGCCTGTCCTTTAATAAACACATAATGAAGGCAAAGTTGTGTCCTGCTGGACAGGTGTCGTGGTAAATTATCATGTAAAAAGATTCTGAGAAGCTGACAAGATGTGTTATTTAGCACTCGACAACATTAGAATTGCAACCTTCATGCCCCTAGCAAGCACTTTTGGTTATTTTGTTGCTGCCACTGGAAAGTGCAAACATGAAAATAAAATAAAAACATACAGTAGGATAGATTGATGGATGGCCACAGTTTGTCTGCTGCCTCTCTGTCTGACCCTGATTTGTGCCTTAGTGGATCAGTGGTGAGTTGACGGCTTTCTAATGATTTTGAGAGACT